TCCACCTCCTCACCGACCCCGCGGTGACGTCGCCGACTACGGGTGAGGGACCTCCGGGCACGTACACAGGCCGCACGGAGGTCCGCCAGCTCATGGGACCACCAGTAGACCTCCTTCCTTGGAGGCCGACAACCACAAACGCGGGGCATGGCCGCCTCGCAAATCTGCGTAATAGCTTCGCAGAAGCGACCAGCCCCCATGTCGACCTCCTCGGTCGGGGCCTGCGGAGACAGCCAAGAGTGAATTATGGCCGCCTCCTCTAGTAGGTCCCTGTCGAGCTTGGCGACAGCCCACCGCGGCAAGCGGGAAGGGTGCCGCGCCGCGTGACCCCTACTGGGGTCCTGGGACCAGGAGAGCTCGAATCGGATGTACAAATGATCCGAGAGCGTCTCGACCTCTTCCAGGACACACCAGTTCCTTACTCGTGCTGCGACTGCAGGGGTAGCGAACGAAAGGTCCACTATCGTGTTGGTGGAGCCTCTGTTCAGCAAACAGAGGCCCACCGACGACGCCCACTCCTCGACGGCTTCACCCTTGGCGTCCGTCGCAGGGGAACCCCACGCAATGGACTTTGCGTTGAAGTCTCCCAGCACGAGGACGTGCCCAGACACTAGTCGCCGCATCGAGGCCTCCAACTTGTTAAGGAAGACCTCGAAGTCGTTCAAACTCCTGTTGGGGGAGAAATATACACCATAAATGGTGATTCCCCTCCAATCGGCGGCAATATATCCAGTACCCTTGTCTCTTAGCGACAAGGGCGGGGAATGAGCCGCCGTGGAGCCAACGACTGCAACGGAGCCGTCCCGGTCACCCATCCAGTTTGGACGGGGAGGGACAAAATAGGGTTCCGCGACTACGGCAACACCTATCGACCACTGTGCCATGGTTTGCAGGAAGAGATCCTGCGCCGCAGCACAGTGGTTGAGATTCGTCTGGACCAGGAGGTTGGAGACTTGATTCATTACTGGATCGTCTCTACAACCTCCTCCATGGGCGTCGGCGTCGACGCATGATTGACGTCGGAGGCATCCTGGGTCGGCAGGCTAGGCCCCGGCGTTTGCCGAGAAGCGCTTGGAGGCTTGCAGCCCCCCTGCCCCATCTGGTGATTGGCGGGCTTTTTAGCCGCCGCACACACGGGGCAGTGAGGGGCGGCAGAGCACTCTGCCGCCCCTCGCCCGGGTTGACCGCAGCGGAAACATAAACCGCTGCAGTCAAAACAGCTCTCGCACCTGGTGCGAGTGTGTCCCGCGGCTAGGCACTTGAAGCACCTCATCGGCCTCGCGGCCAGAACCGTTCTTCTGGCATTCACGAAGCCGACGAGCATGCTTCCGGCGTCGCCCAACGCTTTGGCCGACGCCACGGGACAGCTGACCCACACAGCACCGAGGCCTCCCGGGCTCGGACGGACGGTGCCAACTCTGATGGTGTCCGCGGTGCACCCAGTCTTCTCCATGACTGCATCGCGGACATCCTCCGACGTTATAGAGTCGTCCAGGCCCGAGATGCGCAGTTCCGCGCATTTGGTGGGCCTGGCGATCTTAACACCGTCCGTGTCGGCAAACATTCCCCGCAACTTCTCGGCGAACTTGTCGGCCGTCTTCGCGCCTTCAGCCCCAGGGAACTCGAATACTCGAGCTCCCGTCTGGGCGCGGCGCAACCTCATCCCTGCCGTCCCGAATTCAGTGGCGAGCCCGGGACCGGCCCCTTTAAAGAGGGCCGCGTATGTGAGCCCGCCACTGGCCGCCTCCGGCGACAGCGTGACCACTACAGCCGCGGTTTTGTGGGCTTCCGCGGCCTCTTAGTAGAGGCCGTTGTCACCGGTGATGAAGGCTGGGCTTGGGCCGCTTTTTGGGCAGCCCTTCTGGCCCGCCTTCGGGACTTCTTTGAGCCCCTCGCCTCTTGCCAACCCTCGTTGGAGGGGGCAGGTGCGGAGGGGCCTGGCAGGGATGTCGGAGTGGGGAGCGGAGGGAAAGCCACTCCACTCTTCGGCGCCGCTTTAGGCCTCGTCTTGGCCGGCACCTGGGCCAGAGCCTTGGCCGGCGCCTGGGCCGGGGCCTTGGCCGGTGCCTGGGCCGGCGCCTTGACTGGCGCCTGGGCCGGTGCTTTGGCCCGTCTCCTCGGCCCCTGGGGAGCCGGTGGAGTCGGGGCCGACGCCGCCGCCGCGTAGGAGACGCGGCCTCCACACCACGGGGAGCGCGGTCGGTGCAGCGGCCTTAGGCCGCTGCGACGACGCGAGCGGGGGGCGCATAACCGGCGCAGGGGGCAGTCTCGCCTCCAGGCCGGCCAGACGGCCGTCCAGCATAAGCCCAACTGCGTCCAGAATTCCCCGCAGTTGGGCGTCAGGTACCCCTGAGGTCGCGGTAGGGACAGGCTGGGGCGTGGACGGGGCCTCCCGCTCGGGGAGGTTCGCCCGGAAGCGGGCGAACTGAGCGCTCAGCTCGTTCACCTGCTCCGTCAGCCTGTCATTGGCCATCTGTAGGCGAGAAACATCGCCTACTAGGCCCTCCACGACCTCCGACATAGCGGAGGAGGAGTCCTTAAGGGCCCTCACAAAAGAGCCCTTAAGATTAACCGACTTGGCTACCTTCTGGATGATAGCCACCGCCGCTCTCGCCCTCTCCTGCACAGACACGGGAGCCCGGGGGGCATCTCCCTCCACTGGCTCCCTAACTTTTAACAGGAGATCAGCGATCTCCTCCTCCGCTACGGCCTCGCCGTCCGCTCGTACCCGTCTATAGGAATCCGCCTTAGAGAAGGCGGACCCTGCCGGGACGGGGACAGGGGTACGCGACCTCCCTATGCGGCCGCCCTTAGGAGGCCCAGACTCCACGGATGGGTTATCTTCCCCATCCCGCGAGAGTTCGCGTTTCCGGCTCTCGCTCGGTCCCGCTTCCACCTCCATGCTCTCGCTGGAGCCGCCACTCTCGCCAGCCGTGGCAGATTTGGAGCGCAAGCGCTCCGATTTTCGGCTCCCAGCAGTCAGTCTACTACAGACTACTACTGGGAGCCCCACCGAGATAGGCGATCCCAACAACAAGATCCACTCCACCAGTCTTCCTTAACTCCCTGCTTCCCACCGTTTCGTCTGCCATTTTGCTCGCCATTTTCGTTGTATGTTGTTGTTTCGATCGTTGCTTTTTAATTTCACATTCATTTGCCATAATTGAACCCACGAGTGGGGTCCTACCTGGGGAGAACTAAAAGTCCACCCGGGCAGAGATCCCCCAATACCCGGGCAAGCGTAAATTTATGCCCAACCGAGGGGTCCGCAAGTGCCCCGGCTGGGAGTGCGCTTACGACTGAACTACCCATCAGCCATGCATTCCCTGGCCACGCACCAGAACACGGGATTCGGGGAATTTTTTAGAGAGGTTTTCTTCCTCGCGGTCCGGGCGGTTAAGCCGAGACCCTCGTCCCCGATCAGAGCCGCGAGACTTGACCACAGCGCTCTTCTCGGGATTACGATATGCCGACGGTGACAGGGAGACTACGTCCCCCTGCCTGCTCGGTGGTAGTGTCAGTACACGCCGAGCCCGTCCTCCTTTCTCCACCGCTAACAGCGGAGAAACTGGCCCCTATAGGGCCCCACCGTCTGGTTTTTTACCGAGGTTTCCTCCTCCATGCTCCGAAGAGCGAAGAGCCAGCAGGGCAACCGGCAGACACGCCCACCCTGCTGGACCAGGCCTTGCCCGAGAGCCGATAAACGGCTTCCTCTTCTGCTAGAATATTAGCCGATGGCGATAATCCTCTCCTCCAAGAGAACAAGGAGGAAACAGTGCCATCGCCAGCGTTTCCAGGGTGCACCACGGGGAGGTTTTCTAGCATAGCACCCCCCGCAAACGATACCTGCGCCAGCCAACGTGAAGCACTTCATTTCAAAGCCTTGCTTAAGGTGATGATCAGGGTGCTTCCTTGAAGCGGTACTTCTGATAGGCACAGATCTGCTGTGGTACACCAGGCACGTGCGTCTACATCCGGCTTGTCCGGGTCAAATTCAGGCAAAGAAATATGCTTGGTACCTGCCGGGCCCCTGATGGGTTCTATCAGGGACATCATGTTCCGATTTTGAGCAGCCAGCACCGTGCGAAGCAAGTTCTCATCGAACCGTGACGTCATGGCTCCATTCTGCGATATTTCTTGAGTTTCTTCACTTCTGATGTAGCATCGAGCGGCCGAGGTGCGACACATCAGGTCTTCATCATGATCTGACATGGTTTCCAATGGATGTGGGCACTGACTTGGGTACTCGAGCGAAAGATAATTTAAATCAGAATAACTTTATTCACAATATTGAAACGAAAACGTGCGTCGGTATCGAGTGCCCGTTGAACGCATCGCGTTTTTATATGACAGCGAGCTGTCAACCGCTGTGTTGCCAATTAACTCATCCGAATACGCCCAAATCGATTATACTTGACGTTCCGTTCCACGATCTCCGACATATAAAATACACTTATGATCTTATCAAACACTGGTTACCCTACTATGTACATAATATATTGATACTTAGACTATTTATGGAACACTGTTTACTCTTCAAGTTGCAAGCATTGCAAGTGAGCATACTTTGGGTTTGAATTGATTATGTTGTTGTAAGTGCTTACTGTGTATGTATTGTAAATAATTGTGTTAAATACATTGTAAAGCATTTTGATATGGTTAATGTAAATTATGATCATGTTTGTATATAGTCCTGTTTTAGTTATATGCTTGGGACATATTATATTAACTAAGTGGGAGTTTACACAGCCAATCAATTTGCAACTTCTATGTAAACTACCATATTGTAGCAATAAAAATACAAACTTATTCTAATAATGAAAGTGCATGCATACAGAGAGATAATGTTTTAGGTTAATCCTATAGAAAATAACATTTTGCGTATAGATGTTTCCATACTATATTTTTCCTGTCTTGACAGTCTCACAACCAAATACACGTTTGATGTCCGGCTCCGTGCGGATGGTATAAGCACGCCTTCCATCAGATTCCTTGACATTCTACGGTGTTTGGTCCACGCACACTTCCACCCAAGGTAGTAGCAGTTTGTCGAATACAAAGAACAGCTGCTTGCTACGAGTCAGCCTTTTGTTGAGGTAGAAGCGTCTTGGGGGCCTATCCAGGTTAAGGTCAGCGGATGTGACGTCTCGCCTTGCCCTCAGCAACTCATCGCGCAATCCGCGCTGTGCTAGCTGAACCACGACGCGCCGGCACCTCGTGCCCATTGCCCCCTCATCCGCCTCCAGTGGTACACCTAACTTCCTGGCTAGCAACTCGACCGTATTTATCACGTTTTCCCATGCGCATTCTGGCAAATTGGAAATCTCCACGTCAGATAGCAGCAGGTCTTCCTCCCTTTCATTGAGCATGGTTTTCAGCTGACTGATTGTTTGCTCGTATTAGTGTGGTGGGGGGGTCTCCGCCTGGTGGTTCTCAATCTGGTCCAAGCGGTTCTCCAGATTATGAACCTTCTTCTTACAGGCTGATACTGATTGGCGAAGGTCAGCCACCTTGAGGCGGGATTCCCTCAGCTTTGCTTTTAGGTCTTCCCGCATTGCCCGTAACTCCATCCTCAGCAGTTGCATTTCGTTACCGAAGTCAACCTTTGGAGACGAGTTGTCGGCCAGCGTCTGCATACTCCGCTCTTTATCACACCCTGATCCTTCTGTTGACTGATAGGACTCGTGTTGGCTGGTAGGAGTGTTTTCTTTATTATCCGAACATATGCCCTGGATAGGGGTGGGCCGAGTGATGTCATTGGGTGCTTCGCTCCTGCAGCTCCGATGCCAAGCAATATTGCGACTATTAAATCAAATCAAATCAAACTTTATTTGTTTAGAATGTAGGTAAAAATACAAATTAGATGTTGTGTAAGTAAAGTAAGTTCCTGGTACATTCTGCCATATGGCATACAAATCTTAAAATAATATTGTGAATAATTTATTGCTTACAAAAATTTATGACTGTTTAGTAAATAATTAAGATAATAATAATAAAAAAAAAAAGAACAATTATTAAATAAAATTAGGATATTAAAACCTTTTACATATGTCAATAAAATTATAATGAGAAATCTTTGTTTGTCAAAAAAACTACAAAAAATGTCATAAAAAAATAAAACAATATAAAAATTAAATTGCATCATTTAAATAATCCGTTAGACAGTAATAACATTTCTCCACCAGGAAGTCTGTCAACTTATTTTTAAATTGTTGAAGTGGCAAATTTTTCAATGCATCTGGTATTTTATTATATATTGTAGGCCCCATACACAATACACTTTTCCTTAGAAGTGCAGTTTTGTATCGGCCCGTCGATAACATGCCAGTGTATTGTGATCTTAATGGTGGTGTTCGTTTTCTGCTGTCATTAAATAATTTAAACAAATGTCTGTTAAATTTAAGAAACATTGCTATTTCCAAAATATATAAGCACGGAAAAGTTAATAATTTAAAATTCTTAAAAGCAGATACACAACTGTCCGTAGTTAATAAGCCCGCTATTGCTCTAATACAGCGTTTTTGAGATTTAAAAATCATATCTCTATCCGTGTAATTCCCCCGAAATATAATGCCGAATCTCAACACTGAGAAAACCATACCGTGATATGCTAATAGCAGTGTGCGTGTGTTTACCTTTTTTGCAAGATGGAAGAGTGCATAAGCAGATTTATTTAATTTCTTGCATATGTTCTCTGCCTGCGGCTTCCATGAAAGCTGACTATCAACAAGAATACCCAAAAATCTTGCTACATTTACTTCCTATATGTCTTGCCCATTACATTTAATGCAAAATTTGTCTATCATTCTGCGTTGGAAGAAATGCATTACTGTAGTTTTCTGTAAATTTATTACCAGATTATTTGCATTCAACCAATTTACTATTTTGTGTAATGTGTTGTTAATTTCCTGTTCATATGTATCCCTATCGTCACACGTAATTATTGCAGTACTGTCATCAGCAAAATGAACTATTGGTTGTTGAATTTGGCGTGGAAGGTCATTGATATATATTAAAAATAATAAGGGTCCCAGCACACTTCCCTGTGGTACACCATAGACTGTGCCTTTATAATCAGACCTAAACTTTATTTCACGTTTACTTTTTCCGTTTATACGAATTATCTCTGTATACTGTCTACGATCACTTAAATATGATTTTATTAAATCTAAAACATTTCCTCTAATTCCATAAGCGTTAAGTTTATCAATGAGAGTCTCATGTTTCACATAGTCAAATGCTTTTGACATATCAGTAAATATTGCACATACTGACGTCTTATTATCAACCTTGACCATTATTTTACTTAAAAGGTCATATATTGCCATGTTAACATTTCTATTTTTTCTAAATCCCATTTGTTCGTCACATAGAATGTCAAATTTTATTAAAAAATTGTCAATAGCTTCGTAAATTACTTTTTCTATAACTTTAGAGAAAACTGGGGTTAGAGCTATAGGCCTGTAATTGGTTAGTTTATCCTTACAGTCTTTTTTATGTAGTGGTTTAATTATAGCTATTTTTAATTTATCTGGATATACACCAGATGTTATACTACAATTAGTTATGTGACAAAGGGGAGCAGCTATTACCTCAGAAACATATTTAACAACTCTTGTTGATATCCCATCGTAGCCAGTGCTGTTTTTGTTTTTTAAAGATTTTATTAATCGTATTATATCTTGCTGTACCACTGGAGCCATGAATAGAGAATAATGATTGGTTTTCGGACCCAAAACTGTATTTTTTGATGTAATAGTCCTTGAACCAGATGTGATATGGTCAATGAAGTAGTTGTTGAATGTATTAGCAATTTCTGTCGGGTCTTTTATTATTTTATCTGATAGCTGTATCTGTAAGATGGGTTCTGGTGTATTTTTATGCTGATTAATAACGTGCCACGAAGCTTTTGATTTATTTTTCGAGTTTGATATGTAGTAATTACTTCGGGCCTTTTGTGTTAATTTAACTACTTTTAAAAAAATTGTTGTATATGTTCTGAATTTTTTTATATTCTCAGTTGATGGTGATAGGCGATATTTCCATAGCAAATTTCGTTGTTTTTTACTACATAATCGTATACCTTTTGATATCCATTTAACATTTTTTTTACCTTTTACTGTAACGAACTTGAAAGGAAAACACAAATCATACAGCAGTAAAAACAATTCTAAGAAATTATCGTAAGCGTTATCTGGATTATCGGTTTCGTATACTTGTGAGAAAGATAAGCTTTGCAAGTAATTTTTAAATTTAAAGAGATTTTCTTCCGATATATAGCGTTTTTCAGTACGCCACTGGCTTAATAGATACGTCTTATTAACCTCAAACTTAAACAACTGAGCTGTATGGTCCGATAAACCCAAGTCTATATTTTGACTCAGGCATTTTTGTTTTAAATTATGTGCAAAATTGTTTAAAGAACTGTTGCTGATTGGGCGTGTAGGGGCTTTTATTATTAATTGTAAATTATAGTTCAAAAGAAATAGTTCAAAATCAAGGGTTGTTCTATTTCTTTTCAGGATATCTATGTTAAAATCCCCACATAACACTACTTTAGTTTTGGGTTTAGTTATCTTTTTTAAAATTAAGTCGAGCTTTTCATAAAATGTATTTAAGTTGCACATAGGGGGTGGTCGATAAATGCAAATAATGCTCAAGTCTAGCTTACGTAGTTCTATAGCACAACACTCTATGACGCCTGGCAAAGACTGATTTGCAATATGTTTTAGTTCTTTGTATTCATGGCCATTCCTAACCAGTATGCAAGCGCCCCCACGCTTTTTAGAATCCCTCGAGTAACATGCCGCTAGCTTGAAATTTGGTATATTTAATAACGGTTCATGTCCCGACATTATAAAATGTTCCGTAACACATAATACGTCCAATTTTATATGTTTCCCCCAGAACTTTTCAATATGAACTGTTAAAATGTCAGATTTATTTAAAAGTCCAGCAATATTTTGGTGCAATATATATACGCAATTATCAAACACGAAACAAGTTAATGTCAGTTATTGTGTCTACATGATCATTGAAAATGGTTTGCTCAATGTTACTATTGACAGCATATAGTTGTATATTGCACTTGAAGATTGTAGAACGGTTAACGCAGAGTGGTATAAGACAGTTTGTTTACCACAAGGCATCGCCGAACGTCGAAAATCTAACTCAAAGCGACGCATCATCCTGCACCACGACAACGCAAGCTCACACAGCGCTCGTCAAACGATTGAGTATTTGAAGCAGGAAAAAGTAGAAATTCTTGACCATCCTCCATACAATCCTTTTTTTTTTTTTTTTTTACGTGTGGAAATCCCCTTGGACCGTGCCGGGGTTCTCATTCGGCGGGGCGGTGTGTCGGACTCGAACCGACTTAAACCACACGGTGTGCCCTCTTTGCGCTTCCAGTTTAGGAGGGGTCCAGGTAGTTATCGCCTTCTGGACCCCTCCCAGCGCCGGCCCGCTCCTGGTGCGGGCTCTGTCTCAGGAACCTCTCTTTCTAGGTGACCATGGTGGCTCGGCGAGCGGCTTCGCGCCACTCGCGCACGTCTTCCGGCGGAGAGCGAAATCCGCTCTCCGCCCGGAAGTCAGCCACTCGCCGATAGACTTCGGCGAGCACCTCCGCCTCCAAATCCCACGGGGGTGTTCCGGCCAAGGCGCAAGCCGCCTCGGTGGACACCGTGCGGTATCCGCGTATGGCTCTGACCGCCAATATCCTCTGGGAGCGCCAGAGGCGCGCCCTATTCGGGGCGGTCAGAGCCGCCACCCACACCGGTGCACCATAAAGCGCCATGGATCGGACAACCCCCGCGTACAGCCGCCTCGTGGGAACACTGGCCCCGCCCAAATTGGGCAAAAGTCGCCCTAGGGCGGAGGCAGTGTCCACCAGCTTCGGACCAAGCTGTCGGAAGTGCTTGTCGAAGAGCCACCTACCGTCTAGGACCAGACCCAGGTACCTCATCTGGGCCCGGACCGGTACGAGGACCGAGCCGACCTCGATTGAGGCGCCGGCGGGTGGACCACGACGGGGCCCATGGAATAATAGGGCCTCCGTCTTATCCAGGGCCACCCGTAATCCCAACGCCTCAATGCGCCCGACCACCTGGGAAACTCCCGTGGCGGCCAGGCGCGCCGCCTCCTGGAAGTTAGCCCCCCGGGCCGTGACTAAAGTGTCATCCGCGTAGCAGATGACACTCAGCCCGGGGGGGAGACGCCCTCGTAG